TTCCCCCCCCACCCGGCCGCGCTTCCCCTGCGCTCACGGCGGCCTCAGCGTCTCCCCGAGAGCCCGTCAGGCAGCTCCGCTCTCCGGCGCCACAGGCCAGGCTCGTGCTGGCCACGAGGGCTGTAGTGGCTGCCTGGCTTCCGCCAAGCCAGGCTGGGAGCCATTGAGCAGGCCAAGTGCAGGGGCTTCCGGCCACGCAAGCCCTGCCAGGTTGAGCCTCCTGCACCTGCCTGCTGAAGGGTTGTGCAATGGCAGCCGAGGGGGAGCAGGGTCCTGGCAGACCGGGGGGGGAGTTTTGCCTGACTGGGGCTGTTGAGTGGTAGTGCCACCAGGATTGGCATAGCTTTTGGCGGAGGAAATCCCCTGTGTCCACAGCCAGGGCTGCAAGTTCAAGTCCCAGCCTGGTGGGGCAAGCATGTGCTGCGGTTGCTTCCTGCAGGAGGACTGTGTGTTGCGTGGGAGCAGCACCTGCTCCCCGGGGTGGACTCCTGCCGTGGTGCAGCAGGACCCCATGAGAGTGCCAGTGGAGGGTCAGGGAAGGTGTGGCTACTGGTTCACCTGCCCCTCCTGGCAGCACAGCTCCAACCCAACATTTTTGGCAGGATGTACCATTAGTTCTGCTGGGCAAAGGCAGCGAAGGGAGATGTGCTGGCACAGGGCACAGGCATCTGGTATAACTCCTGAAGCAGTGAAGCTTACTATCTGCCAGAGGGCAGGACACAGAGCTGCATTAGTTGTCCCTACCTTGCTGGACAGAAGGGGAGGAATAATGAAGATACTGCTCTGGAGCTTTGCCATTAGTTTAGGCACTGCTTTCCCTTGCCTCTTTTCTGTTCCTTTGTTCTTTGATATTCCTGGAGATAAAGGACTCCAAGCTTCCTCATTTCACACCTGAGATCCTGTTCTAGTCTTGCTGTGACTGCTGGTGTTGGGCGTTTTAGCCAGGAGTCAATGTTTCAGCTTCTGTCATGGAAACTGCCTGCTGTTGATAACCTGTGAAGCCAAAGATGGCTTATCTGTGAACATATAAAAGCATTGCTTTCTCCCCCACACAGTAAGTGCAGCCACCATAAGCATTTGGTAACTCTTACAGTACAGACTAGACCAGCTGCCTTTTTGAGATTTGGGTCTCCCCATCACCAGGAGAGCAGTAGCAGTCAGCATTGATGGGATGCTGCAACTCCCCTGCTGTAGTGCTGCTGCTGCGTTCGCTGTGCCTTTGGTGTGAGTGCCCCTTTTCATGGAAGAAGGCATCCAAAAGAATTTACCATTTAACATTTCATAACATTTAAATTGTTTCCCAGAGACTTATCATTGATGACCTCTCTTTCACTAGACAGGGTGTTTGGATGCCTTTAGCTTTAAGTGCCAACTGACCTGCTGCTACACAAGTGCTTGTTAGTGTAACCTGAAGAACAATGTCCCTTTGGACATGACAGTCTCTGAATCTGAGCCAAAAAGGGCCCTTTTCCAAACAGTGCAGTTACAGTTGTGCTGTGCTCCTCCTACAGGGGCACTTATGGGGCTGCTTTGAATGGCAGCCTGTGACGATCACCCTGTTCCAGCCATGGTGCCAGGCACAGCAAACTAAACTTTACTCCATGAGCCCAACTACTGTCTGTTGCTTGTTTCTCAATGGTTTTTATTGCGCCATCATTTTGGTTTGTTGTTTCACACACTGAGCTCCCCTTTGTGTAGATAGGCACGCAGCAGCTATAGCAGAGCCCCCCTGCTAATGACAGAAATTGCCTAGGATTGCATTTTAGGATTCTTTCCCCTCTTTTTTTCAAATCAGTATCCAGGTACCAGATGAAATGAGGATTGTGGCCACTTTCGTTATTGTTACGGGATCATGGCTTTTTCTTGTTAGCCTTCACTGTGCATAAAATACTGCTAATTCAGGTCCACTTCCCTACCACTGTAGATCAATGAAACTGCAACCTCTAAGTGAGCTGAAGTCGCATGTTTGACTGGCTGTGGTCCCTTTGGTCACCATCCCAGCTGGGACAATGAGTTTCATTTCTCTACGGGCTTTGCTCTAAGTGTGAGTGGATGCGTTGCTTATAAAAGATAGCCTGATCTGGGCACAGAAACCTACGTGGGATGCAAAAAATGAATGAGGCGCTCCATATCTTGTGTTTCTGGTGACTAAGCCTCCCTATCTGTCACTCTGATAGTTACAGAATAGTTGAAAGGACCCTGGTTTAAAACTGCCCAAGTTGCTGTGTAGCCGTTATCTCTGCAGCAGTGGGTGCTTGCATATGTATGTGTGTGAGAGTAGTAAGAAGTGGTGTTAATTTCCTCTTGCTCGTTTATATTGGCTGGCTGTTGGCACAGAGTGGTTGGGTAGAACTTCTTACTTTCTTTGTCTTGGCCAATCCATCGTCTGTTTCCAAGGAAATGGGAGTGGAAACAGCAGCCATCAGCAGACAACTTAAACGTCTGGATCCACTTTTGCTAGTTTTGTAGATGACATCCAGGATCTTTCCACTACTGCCTGTCTCCTCTGTGCACTGTTTGTTCTCTGGGGCCTGTGTCACCCTTGTGTTTGTACAGTATGTTGTACAGCACAGTGCTGGTTCTGATTAAGGCCCCTAAGTGCCACTGTAAGACATTCAGTAAGGGCAAACAAGTTTGTACTTCCAATTCCGTCAGACAACAGGAACATTTCTCTGAGATTCTTTTCTGTGTGGTGAGCTGACTGCAGCACAGCAAGTGGTTGTAATGTGGTACCCCTGAAATCAGAGCTGAGGCAGCTTACAGTGTTAGAGCCTGTGGGTGGTTGTCTTTGTCTTGAGTTTGAAGGATATTATGAGGCTTTCGTGAAAAGAAAGGGTTTTTGGTAGCAGTCCTTTAGCACTCACACCTCTCTACTATCCCGCATATTTCCCTTTGGGTGAAGATGACTTCATTGGGAAAAACTATAATCTATATCATTTCAAGTCAGCTGCAGGGGGTGGGATCAAGATGGCTCGGGCCTAAATTAGCTTTGGTTTGTTTGCATCCTACAGGGGTGTTGGTTAAAACATTGTAGAAGTCTGAGGTGCTCTTGCTCTTAGAGAAGTCTGAATCCGTGGCCAGGACCTATGGTGCAGTGCCCTTACTGAAACAGGACCCCTCCTTTGGTAGTTGGTGCAAGTGGCTTTACTGCACCTATTGGAGAGCAGCGTATTCAGAACTGTGCTACATGTTTTGGATTTGGGAGTTTTTTTGCAGCTGCTGCCCAACCTTTCCCTCTGATGCATTGGATAAAGTGCAGCAAGTAGAGCAGGGAATGCAAGTTGGGAAAGGTAATAGCACCCTCCTGTGGTCAGGGTTAGGAGGGGATGCAGGGCATGAAAGAACCGGCTCTCGAGCGAGTGTTTGTAATGGTCTGTGGGGTTAGACACCTACATACTTCCTAAAGACTTATCTCTGTACCCAGACTTTTAGGAGTGCCTCAGAAACTAACTCTCACTCTTGTTGCTTTGTTTTTGGAATTCAGCTTCTGATTATGGCATGAAGCTGCCAATCTTGCGGTCCAATGCAGAGGATCAGATTCTGTACCAGACTGAGCGTTACAATGAAGAAACCTTTGGTTACGAGATTCCCATCAAGGAGGAGGGGGACTATGTATTGGTGCTGAAGTTTGCAGAGGTCTATTTTGCACAGTCCCAGCAAAAGGTAATGTCTCCTCAGCTCTAGGCTCTATGCCTCACTATTACTGGTGATACTTATTTTTCTCCAGGGTTATGCTTCTTGGGATTGTCAGTGGCCTCTTGCATGTTGCTGCCTGTTGGGATTAAAATCATAGAATCGTCATAGAAGTAGGGTCGGAAGGGACCTTGTAGATCTTCAAGATATGTGGAGCAGGTGTAGAAACAGGTGGAAAGCACTTATTAAGATCTAAATTCATCCCTAGTGTAAGTCTACTGAAGCCAGTGGAGTTGCTGTAGAGAAGATGGCATCTGTAGGGTGCCTTACAAAGTGACCCTCAGCACCTGCCTTGTAGTTCAACATGTGGCAGCCTTTGCTATGAAACAATATCTTCAATAAATTACATAGCTAAATAGGTCTAGAGGCTTCAAAGCATTAATAATTTTTCCCTACTTTATGATCCCATCTTTACAGCTGAGTCAAGGTCACCCAGTAACTCACTAGGGATATGGGGTCAAGGCTTGCGATTCCTGACTCCTGCACCATGTTGCTTTCCTGCTTGGTGATTATTTCAAGTAGCGGGCCAACACTGCCATTGTCCTAGAGAGTGGAAATGACTGGATGTGAAGACAGCCTCCTGCCAAATAGTTCTGCAGGAGTTAAGGACTAGTGTAGCCCTGGCTCTCTTTTGTGTAGTATGGAGGGTGGCCCCAGTTGTGAGTGAAGCTCGAGTCCCCAGAACCCAGAGCTGGCATCTGCTTGGATTGTGTGCACTAGGCTATCAGTTTGGTCTCTTAGTTCTTCCTTCCGCCTTTTCTCTGTCTTCTCCCCTTGCCCTGTTCTTTCACTAACTTGAGCTTAAGAAACCCAGAGCCAAGTTAGCGGATGTGCTGAGCACCCACAACTACCACTCTATTGATTAGGAGTTGTGAGCACTGGGCACCTCCTGACAGCAGGACAGGATAACACTGTTTTCCTTAGTATGGAACAGCAGCAAGGAGGATACCTGTTAGAAGCCTGGGGCAGGCTTACTTGCACCAAATGGCATCTAACAATGACTATATGAAACTCTTTAAACAGCATAATGTTTTGTCTTCAAATGGCTGAATTCTTCTCATTAAGGGAGGGAAGCAGATGCCCATATATGTGGAAACTAGCAGTTTGATAATGTACGCTGTCACACCCTCTTGCCTCTCAGCTGCTTGACAAGCATGGACCATTTCTGTCCTGTTCTCTCTGTTATTATGTACCTGGTTCCTTTATGATGCTCTCTGCAATCTGTCTCCCCACCAAAGGTATTTGATGTGCGTTTGAACGGCCATGTGGTGGTGAAGGATTTGGATATCTTTGACCGAGTTGGGCACAGCACGGCTCACGATGAGATCATTCCAATGAGCATCAAGAAGGGGAAGCTGAGTGTTCAGGGAGAGGTTTCCACATTCACAGGGAAGCTCCAAA